TTTAGCCCAATTTCTGAATCAAGATTCTATGGCATGGTGTACCCGAATCCGCTCGAGGATGGAAAATGGCGCCGTGGCCTGAATCGGATTGCGCCGGCAATCGAGGATGAGCTGCAGGAGATGGCCGAGCACAACAAGAAGAATGGCAATCCAAGCCGGAAAGTAGTCGTAATCGTCCCCTGGAGTGGCAATGATGTCTACGGGGATTACGGCTACGCAGGCTGTAAGTGGATCAATCAAAAACGATTCCTAAAGACCGAGGCGGACCGGAAGGTCGCAGCCGATTGGCCGTACGCTCAACTATCTCGCGTGCGAGCGGGTGTCGAGCGGCTGATTGAGCTGCGAGCCCGACCCGACATAGCCGAATTGGTGGTTGTCGGAAACGCCCCGGCCGAGGACTACGACTTGCCGAAAGCATACAACCGGCATCTCGGGGAGCGCTACGGATACCTGATATCGAGAGGGGTTCCGTGTGTGGATCCAAGCACGATGACGAACCAGGTCTTCTACCACGATCAATTCCACATGATCGAGTGCTACCAGACCCTCAAATGGGGCGTCGCCGTCTACTCCGGCATTGCAACCAGCGCATTTCGAACCTTCCAAGTGATGCAGTACAAGGACGAGATTGAACCGTTGACAATCCTGAACGCCGGTGAAGGCGAGGGAGATCTGCAGTTGATGGAGTTCATGTTCAGGTACCCTACTATCTCGGAAGTTCGAGCTGCTGCTGACTTGACGCTTGCCGGAAGGCGAGCCGTGGATCAAATCGAACTGAGCCCGGCCGACATTGTGGACGCAGTTGACCAAGAGATAATGAATTGGTTGCTGCAAGAGGAAGAGACGGATGTCGTGCGCCTGAAAGATACCAGCCACGTGCTGGCCCAGGAGATGACCCCGGATGACCTGTTGCGGTTGCCCATCGACGCAGAAGAATTGGATGAAAGTGAGCACGATGAGAGGCATCGCATCATTATGAAAGAGCTGTACCCAGACTTGCCAACTCCAATGGGGGGCCAAGAACTTGTGGAAGAGTTCCCATGGGAAGTCCCAGACGAAGGAGATACGCTCGACTTCGATGAGTGGGAACGGGCCCTTGAGGAGAAAAAGAAGAATCCGGATGCCAGCTCATTCATCCCGCCAGTTGAGGTGCCGCTTCCGCCACCAAAGACTGAGGAAGAGAAGGCAGATGACGAAGCCTTTGCTGATGTTCGCACCGAAAAGTCCTATGTGATCGTTAAGCATCCCGAAGAGGAACAACCAGACTGGGACGACGATGATGCGGACTCGGCGGTATTCAAGTCTGCGGGGGGTTCAGAGACGGGCGAGGCCGATAAGCCCGAACCCATGGAGGTCGACGAAAAGGCCCAAGGGGAGCAGAAGAAGGCGGATGAAGAAGCCGCTCCCGAAGGCCAAAAAGACGTCGACCAACCAGCTGAGGAATCCCAGGGCGGAGAAGCCAAGGAGACTCCGGGCCAGGCTAGTGAAGAGAAGACCCAAACTGATGATGCCCAGCCCATGGAGATCGACCTGACTGGTGAGGATGACGCGGAGAAGGGAAAGCCGAAGAAGAAGCCCTCTGCCACGAAGCCCCAGAAGCCAAGCGTGCCGGAAGGTTCGCCGAAGCCAGAACTCACAGAGCTAGAGAAGGCCGCTGCTGAGGCCAAAGCTCACTACGAGGAACTGAGCTACATCGACGGGAAAACCGGCCGAATCGTGGTGAAAGGGGAACAGGAAGAGCGGGACGCTCGATTCAAGAAGTGGAAAGAAGCAGAGCGGCTTGCTATTCGGCCCAAGGCGCAGCCGAAGCAGGTGAGGCCTCCTAATCTGGAACCCACCTTGCGGGCAATCGACACCGAAGATCCCAGTAAGGATCTCGAATTTGCCCAGCTTCCGGGACAAGAGGTGTGGCTCGGTCCCGAGCACCTTCGCCAAATCCCGCGCCGGGATGTTGAGTGGGGCCGTTTTCGGTGGATCTCTCAAGAGCTCACATCCCACCTCCGCGGCCATAAGGAACTGAAAGGGTTCGACACGCCGGACTTCGAGGAGGACGGCAGTAAGCCCTGGAAACCGCTCATGGAATGCCTCCAGAAACGCATTAACCAATGCAGGGAATGGGAGGTGCTTCTGGTGATCAAGAATTCGGAAGACGAAAGATTCGAGTTAAAGACTCGCCTGCCAGGCAATCCTGTGGGAGCGACCTGGAAAGGTCTGCCGTACGAACCAGTCGGTATCAAGGCGGCGCAAGGCCACAACCGGTGGGTCACTGACCGGTTGGGACACGCCAACTTCATTAAGCATGTCTATTCCCTTGACCCCGACTATGTACCGAAAATGGTCGATGAGGGCAAGCTTCCACGGATGAACATGGTGCCTGACCAGGAGTATCTGTCGTCACTACCAAGGGTCCTATACCACTCGTGCGACCGCGCAGCTATGGAGGGAATCATCACCTCCGGCCTCATCCCTGGTGGTTTTCCAAAGAAGACGGGCCGAGCTCACAATTATTTCACGACCTGCCCGCCATGGAAGGCCCAGATGAGAAAGCTTGCGGGAACGCGAGCCGGACAACCCACTTACCTAGCATTCGACACAGAGCTTGTGATGCAGCATGGTTGCCGAGTCTTCGCGACACGGAAAAGCATCCTCTGTTTGGACTGGGTTCCGAATTCTGCACTGATGTACGCGTACGATGCCCGGAACAACCAATTTGTCTGGTTCAACAGGGCGTACGCCAAAATGCGACAGATGTACCATGAAGAAATGAAGAGCCATTCCACTGACGATCCGCAGTTCCGACTGAGCAAGCTGGCTGAAGCCCGAAACTACATGCTGAACAATGCTCGCCAGAATCAGCAGCACGTCAAGTTCAAGGTGGGCCAGATCAACCTGATGCGAGGCGCAGTCAAGATGACGGGCATTACCGACGAGGTTGCCCTGACTCAGAGCCAAGCGTCCCGGGAGGGTCCGCCGCCAGAGCTTACCGGCTTTATGCTGGGACAAGTGTGCATCATCATCAATGAGGAGATGTCTGGCTGGGCAGGAAAGGGCAAATCAAAGGGCAAGTCCAAGGGCAAGAAAGGCAAGGGCAAAGGAAAGTTTCGCGACATCACAGACGAAGATCTGATGGCGAATGAGATTGTCCAGATCCCCAAGCGGGTGTGCCCATCACCCTTGTGTGCGACGAAGCACTTTGATGGCCAGCACAAATGCGACTACTGTCGCCAAGACTTGCAGGTCTGGTCCGACGCCCGATCGGCCAGTGAACTTGCCCGGATGGAAGAGACGGCCAACCTCAACGAGTCCGTCGTCGCCTTGGATCAGCTTTCAACAAGATCCTTTCGCAAGGCGAACGTCGTCAAAGACACGTCCAAGGGCGAACAGCAGCGCGGCGCCAAATCGGCGTTCGGCCTAGTCAAGAGACTGGCCGTCAACTACGTCAGGAAGGCGAAGCAGCTGGGATTGCCCGGACCGACGAAGCGACTGGAGGTTGACCCGTTGTTTGCCTATAACTGTGCAACAACGCAGCTCACGTCAGGGTCACTCACCTTTCTTCACCGATTAGCGCGAGCGATCTTTGCCAACCCTGGCCGAAGCGCTCTCGAGCGGAAGAGGGCCCTTGACGACCAAGAAAGGGAGCACCACTCCAAGTTGTGCTTTATCCCCACCATTGCCAGGGATCCGATCGATGCCATGTCGATCGAAGACGAATCGTTCGTATGTCATCACTATCGTTTCTTCAATTTGAAGCAGTTTTCGATGTGGTGCTCGCTGGCCCGCACACGCAACGAACCCGTTGTTGCTGTGGAGGGATGGGGAAGCCTGGAGTGCGTGCCGGAAGGCGACGCCGTGCAGATCCTGAGCGATTTAGTGGAGTTTGCTGAACGCAATTGGGCTCGAGCTTGCGAGGGAACCGAGTACTCCGATACGACGATCTTTTCAGGACGGTTTCCAGAGGTGAAGCTCACCGAGCGGCGATCCACTGCAAAGGAAAGCACGAAGACGGCCTTCGATCCTCGCTCAAAGGGAATCGGGAAAGACGCCAAGCTCTGCTACGAGTGCGGCTCACCCGACCATCGTGCCCGCGACTGCCCGGAAGCAAAGGGTCGCAACAAGGGCAAGGGCAAAGGCAAGGGGAAGAGCCAGTATCAAGGAGGCTGGCAAAGCAGCTGGAACCAAGGATGGGGAGGTTCCTGGGGCTCCGGTTCGTGGGATTGGAACCGCTCCGGGCGATCCTCGTGGCAGAGTGAGGCTGCCTCGTCATCTTCCTCCGACTGGTGGTCCTCGTCCAAGGGAGGCTGGTGGAACCGCTGAAAAGCCATGAAGAAAAGGGAGAAAGAAGCAGAGAATATCGTCTCGCCATGCGGACCGGAAGGTCACGCCGGAAATCAAATTCGTTGGTGTGATACTTTCAATGTCCCTATATGAAGCGAGCGGGAACGCTCTGCCGTAAACCCTTCAATCAGCTCATTTTGCATTTAATTCAATGGTTTGCGCAATCTGTGTACGCTTTTCTCGAGCATGGAACGGTAAGAGTTCCCAGTGAGACGAGCGTGCCGGAAGGCATGGCCGTTGTTCTAGTGAGAAACCTCATTGCTTATCGCAATTTTTGAGGTCAGTTATAGCTGCTCAGGCGAAGACTTGTCGCATGCTCCGCATCAGTGAAAAGAGATCGATTGCCTCAATTTTGCTTTCGTCTTGCATTGTTAAGTAGGGGTTTGATTGCATTCGTGCCGACATGCCACATTCGCAAGCAGTAGTTCGAGGGTCGTAGTGCGGTTTGATTTCATCGCCGCCTGAGGTTGATACGTGGACACTGAACGACTTCCTCTTCGGTGCACCGCGGCAAAGCCGCTTCGCGCCGCGGGGGGTGTTTTTACTAAGTGTTCCACGTATACTGTGTATAATATACCTCGCGACCATCGCTCTTTGGCTCAAGAAAAAGGTGGGCGTTATTGGCTGATTTCCTGTAAACATACTCCACAGCCGTTTTTTTTCAGGTCTCCTCTGGCAAGGTCGAGGAGGTGGAAGCTGCCATGGAGGTGGAGCGGGCTCGGCCGGACATGGTCAGACCCATCACTCGTATCCCAAAATTGGGGAAGACATCCATGGTTTGCGGAGAAGGTTGGGTGGAGATCCACCATCCCTGTCGTTCACCGGAAGCACATGTCTTTTCTCTGAGGCATCCGAAGTCCCTCGACGGGTCTGAAGACGTCGGACCGAGGTCTTCGATGTGGCGGACCCCAGCGGGAAGCTGCGCGCCAAAGCCAGTCGGGAGAGCCAGATGTCGGGAAGTGCCTCAAGGAGATGGAGAACACCCACATCAGTGGTGTGACGCCGGTGTTTTTTCTTTGCACGTTTCATTGTTCCCTTCTTTCCCCCCAGAAGTGTTTTGTTATGTTTTGTTTGGATTTTGGAGAGACTTAGTAAAGGAGGGACTACATCGAGTCGATTGTTTCTCATTGATCCATGTGCAGAGAAGCTCTGACTTTGCCTGAGGCGTGCAGCGGGAAGCCGCCAACGGCTCCAGACATGAGGCCACGACCAGCAAGAAGGAGAAGGTACAGCAAAACTGTAAAATATTGTAAAACCAGTAGCGGTCGCGAAAGGAGGCACCACACGAGAACCTGCTTATTTGGCGTTGACGCTCCAAAAGGAAAATGCCAGGATTAGATTCTCAGATGGATCAGAAAGAATCGTCAAATTTCCATCAGCCTCTCTGAAGGGCCAGGAAGTTTGGCCCCTTCTTTGAACATTTCGTGACTGGTCCATTGCCTGTGCTCGTTGTTTGGAGACATTTAGAATCATTTACAGTAGGCAACAAGTCGTTGCAAGATGAATATAGAAAAAATAGTACGTATTCTCCATATCCAGTGGTGGGGCTTGGATGATGCCTACAGTGCCTACAGACCCACCGCGTGTCCGTTTCAGGCCTGGGAAGGACGAAAGCGAGAGACGAAGGGACGACGCTTGGCAAAGAGACCCCACGAGACGTCCCATGGGTCTCTTGAAGAGAAGATTTGACGCTTAAATGAAGGATGATAGTGGGATGATGTGGGTTAGACAGTTTGTCCTTCTTGACCAGTGGTGACCCTTGCTGTCTGCCGGTGTCACATCCGTGTGTACTTGGCGGTGACGTCCAAACACTCCAGCGACAGAGGCTGTAGCCTCCACAGACCGTGTAAATGGAAGTAGAACTACTATGAAGTACTTTCATTTCTGCCTATTTCAGAGTGTCAGTCGCTCATTTCCTGTTGGGCATTGTTGAAGCATTTGTTGTTCAGTAAATCCTGGATCGATCCTGTCCATGAACATGCAAAGTTTCGCCGTAAACTGCCGGTCCACAGCTGCTTTGAGATGGAAGGAAGGATAAGTGATGATAAGTGAAACCATGGCTGATACACTCGACTAATTAGTATAGAAAAGTATGAAAAAAAACAGTTCTGTTCCTGCTTGGTCCATTTTGCATTATCAAGGTCGAAAACCAGATGTTGTCACCAGATGTCATTCACGCCCTCCACATCGCTGACTACACCTCGGTTCCGGTCCCCTCGGTTTAGCGGGGAGATCTCTTCATGGCGCTGAAGATCTGAGCAGATCTGAAAGATTTCAAGAGGCCGCTGATCTGAAGAGGCGCTGAAGATCTGTTTGTTTCAGATCTGGTAGAGAAGACAGGCTCGAAGAGGAGAGGACCGCCCCCGGCTTCAATAGAAGGGCAAGCAATAAATGAGGATACACCATCTTAGCTTTGTAGTGGAACACTGAGGCTTGCGTGAGTCAAAGGAAGGAATGCAGTGTTAAAGTGTCACTGTCAAACAAACATGGACCAGGGCCTGATTCAAGCTAGAATTGCACAAAATTGGGTGTTCTTCGACTTTTTCATCAGGAGTGGGTACTGGAGCAACGAATGTGATGGTGTTTGGCGGTCTGTCATGGTTTGGTCTCAGGTCCCCCATGTCTCTTCCGAGCCTGCCGCCCTTGTCCATGCCCTTGCACCAGATCTATTCGCGGCGCTGGACCACAGAGTCTAAGCGGTATTTGCATGTGGCCAAGGAACGGAAATGGATGGCCCTCCAGTTCCCCAGAGCTGTTCAGATTTCGTCGCTTTTGTATGGTTTTGTCATTTTGTATGGTTTTGTGTGCATTGAGATCCAAAAATGTCCCGTTTTGTCATTTCGGCGCTTTGGATTTTGACATCTTTTGACCTGGATCAAGGCACAAGCATCGCTTCCTGGATTTTTCCCCCAAGGAGCGCGCCGAGTTGAAGCGTTACTTCGATGAGTTGGCGGGGGAGAACAGGAAGATCGCTTTGGATCAGCTGGAGACGATGTTCATCTCACTGGGCTTGGCGGAACATCCCAAAGATGTGCAGGGTTGGACTGAGAGGGTCGATGATTTACAACTGGGAGAGCTGGACTTTGAGCAGTTCTTGGAGCTGCTGTTGAAGAGGACCGATTCCGATTTGGTCTCGCTCTTTCGAGAGATGGCGAGTGGCAAGTTGGGGGATCCCAGCTTGAACTTTCAGACCATCATCTCGGAGTATCGGCGCAAGCTCATTATGGGTGCAGCTGGCGTTGGGAACATCGGCCGCCAGTCACTCGGCATGGTCGGAGGCAGTTCCGCAGTCCAAAAGGTGTCCGGTGGCTCCCTGTAAGCCCTCCACTTGATGCAAGCCATCCATATTCCCAAGTGTTTTTGAATGTTTTTGATGTTTTATGAAACTGTCCTTGTCTACATGCCCAAATCAAGAAACTCGTTTTGTTGGTGTCTAATAAGATATCCATCACAGCAACTACTCGTTTCGTGTGCCAGAACGGAGGGCTTATCTTATCAGATCTCCTGCTACACTACCACCTGGGTCATCCTGGTAGCGATTTGGAGGGTACCTGTCAGGTTGACCGGCAGATCGCCATGGCAAGAAACTATTCCGCTTTGATGGGTTACTGATTGCGCTTGTAGTGCTTCTTGTTACTAGTAGCGATGGCCTCCAACTAGTAGCGTCCTTGCAGTATTGCGCTTGTAGTGCGTACCATCACTCCATGATAGTGGCCTGGGCAGTCCAGACAACATCCCCCTACTGACGCCTTGCGGCGTTTCTCGAAATCTGCATAAACATTCTAACAATATGAAGACCTGCGGTGTTCAACCGGAGCGGTTTTTTTTCACCGTGGGAAACCGGAGCTCTTTTTTACGGCTTCGCCCTGTGCGGTGTTCACGTGCCTCGCAGGCAGCTGGGTAGCAAGGTGCTTCACAACTTCGCAGCGCTGCAGCGGAGCCGTTGGGAGGCCCAGGCGGCCAAGGACCAAGCCCAGGCGGAGTCGACTCGGTGTTCGACATGGGCCGATGTATGCCGATCGAGAATTGAATTGAGACTTGTATCATAGTAAAAATAGTTTTAGATGTTTTAGATGTGACAATTCAATCGACTTAGATATTTTGAGGTGATCAAGGTGTGGATCAGATGTTGATATGTCCATGTTTTTTGTCCGATTCCTGATGGAAGCGAAGAAGCTGAGACAGTGATTCTGGGTGATTCGGTGGTTTGTCGCTGGAGAAGCGCTTTGGAACTCGGTCGCTTGCAACAAATGATCCGTTGCAGGCGATGGGATTGAAGAGTGGAGAGGCTGCTGCAGATGTTCGGCTGCAAAGTAGCACGGAGTCTTCGAAGTTTGAAGATGTGTTTGGTGTTTTTCTACCCTTTCAACAGAAGAAAGCCCTGAATCAGACATGTTGGCAAAAGGCATTGGCTTTGTTTTTGTTTGATGTTTTGCACAGCTCAGTCCTTGAGCCAAAATGGTATCAGCCATGGTCGGCCAGACCGTCATTTGTTGGTGGCTGAGACACGATGTGTTGGGCTGTTTGTCCAACCCTTGGTGTCTACTTCAACAGTTTGTTGCCCCCCATTTAGTCTATGGTAAAGGTATGTAAAAGATTGTATAAGCATGTTAAAGCCTCAGGCCACAAAGATTTACATGATGCTGAGACCAGTGATCGCATGTTATAGCCATTCCCTGCGTCACATTTTGAGGACTTCAATACGAATTCGACTCGTGACCCTCCTGTGGCTTGGCATCGCTTCCAAACTCCGTGCAGTCCGCCCTCCGCGACACTGTGGAGCGCTTGTCGCAGGGTGCCAATCTTCCATGCCAAAAAGACCTTCAGGGGGTATGACACCGTGGTAGGTGTGCTGAAACGTGTAAGAGCCAAAAGTAACCTACCAATGCAAGATTGATAACCCGTGACAAACCTTCAACTTGAGCTCCATGTCAGACTTCCTTCTTTTTGTTGTAATACAATCAATATGTGTGCATGTGTGTGGTATAAAAAGAGAGAGAGGGAGGGGGAGGAATTCTTTTGGCGAGTTGAAAGGATAGCCAACTCCCTGGTGCCACTTACCATGTGCCAATTCGAGCGTTGCTAATTCGAGGGATGTTTCATCGAGTGTTGCCAGGGATTATATAGCGTTTCGTACCACCCGTGTTGTGCCTTGGAGTAAGAAAATGGTCTTCGATCACGTGAAGACCGGCAGTGCCATCCCGGCAGTGCCCTTCCTCGACCGAGGTCGGTGGCCTGGAGATGATCTGGCGAGGCGTTTGCGCGGAGAATGACCTGTGGCCCACGCGGAGCATGGACGGAGCCGCGGAAGGGAGGACGAAGCAGATCTTGGAGCAGCCACCCTCACCGGAGGAGATCTTAGAGCCTGGGAGAATACCGGTGTGAGAAGAAGATGCAAAGAAAAATCCACTAAAGGGTTTCTGCTTTTGAATGTTGGATTCTCCCAACGTAGAATATCAGAGTAAATTGCTCTGTCATCGTGGTGAACATTATTTGTGCCTTTTCATCACATTCATCTTGAACTCGATAACAATGTAAGGTAGGTCCACGATCAGCCTGGCACAGGGAAATTCTTGAATCTACGGGGGTCAGCAGTTATAACACTTCGACATCGTTGCTGCTCAGTTAACTTTTCCTGATAGTAACTCTCGCATATTCAGTGTGCCTGTAAATATAGTTTATAAACATGCCCAGATACAGCTTGCTCCGAGTTTCTCCTGTTCAACGAATAGAATGGCTTCGGTGGAGTGGGGGTCGCCGGCCCGAAGTAGACGACAGGTCAAGGCAATTCAAGGCATGTTGCTTTGGAGGTTTGCAGAAGTTGGCATGTTATGTGGAGACAAGGAGTATTTGGAGGTTTTGACACATTGGTTGACCAAGTCTGGCATGCAGTTGTTTTAGTGTGGTGGTTTGGAAGAAGGAGTTGTTCCATGTTGTTCCTCGTCATTGTGCGAATCTAAGGAGAAGGTTCACAAGCATTATAGTCCCAAGAAGAGTGTGAGGCCGTTTGGCCACTTGCCCCAAATGGCTTTGGGGCCTTGGGGCCTGTCACATGTTACTGATTTTTGTTCGATCTTGAAGCTGCCAAGCGGATGGCACCACAAAGCACGTAGAAATGGATGGCACCATGCGACATGTGTTTCGTCTTTGTGCGAGCGCCCAAGTGGATGATCCCCAAGCCTGGGACAGGGAACGCACTTGTCAAGTGCGGCTGGTGTTATTGTACGTGTCGATTCCTTCTCTTGGTGTCTCTTTCGGTGGGGTTTCTCAACCAGTTTCTCAAGCCCTTTTGATTGGGGCTTTTCCAAAGGCTGGTGCATTTGACGAAGCTGCCGAGCGGCTGTTTTCCTTACGGATGTTTGGGAGGTCTTGGGGAAGGCATGAGGCAAATCTATACAGATCTATATGCGAATGGAAGTGCAGCGACATGTACAGTGCAACATGTACATATAT